TAGGATCGTCACGAAACGTCATCGTTTTCACAGGGTGGTGGCGGAGCTTTTCATTGTTGTGGGCGGGGGCTTTTTGTTTTTATTTAACTTAATGTCGGGGTATTTTGGTAAATTATGTTTTAAAGTGCCCGATTAAATAGTCATTATCGTTAAACAAATGATGATGACTCTCTCTTAACTCGCAACTATCATAATTCATAAGAAGATATTTTATGATGTATAGATTTTTTTCTTTTTTGGTGTATCTGTACGCAGTTCGAGGAGATTTTAGTATTATAATCGTGGTATATAATTAATAATTAGTGAAACAGTGACGTTTTTGGTTATACGTATAAAATAATGTTCCAATCTTCGATGGTGGAGTGGAGGATATCTAATTTAATTAACCATCATGTTGTGTGCCTTTCTGCTTTGTATTTTTTCTGGATACTAAGAAGTTTTTGGTCTGCCTTGCCAGTTCAATTCTTTTTGGTTGAGTAATATGTTTAGGGAATGTTTATCTACAAATCTTAACTAATATATTCGCTTGTAGAGGTCAAAAATAATTAAAGTTTAATACAAAAAACAGATTTCGTAATTCTTCATCATCATCACACTGACACATATCTATAATTTTATATAGTAGATTCCACAAACTATGAATTACACTGAGTATATTTGTCGTCAAATGGTACCCAAAAGCTGCATGTCAAATGTGTAACAAACAAATGTCATCACATAACATGCTATCTTTATAAAAATATTGCAGAATGTTTGGAAGCCAAATTCTTACTAATCCTCATTAATGGGCCAGCTACTGGCCCAGAAAAGCTGTGAAAGCCCATATATATTTTAGCCCATACTCTAAAATCGACTCTCTTTCCGGTTTACAGCTTAAAACCAAACCAGATCAATAACCGTTACGAATGTGTAAACCAGATCAATATCACAGCTTATACAAGCATCACTTCTTATCGCCGGAGCTCAGGGATCTACTCCGTAATGCGCGATCCGCGGTAATTCAAGTCAGTGATCGTCTCCGGCGATTCTCACTGGATCCGATTATGGCCAGACTTGTTCTATCGCTGATCACTTTGTTAATTTTGCAATCGGTTTGGGTTACGATTGCATTTGAGTCGAAACATGTTGAAGAATTCAGCGAAGAACTGCTGTTGAAGCCTTTGCCTGATCGGAAAGTTTTAGCTCATTTCCATTTCGAGAATCGAGCTCCTCCTTCAAACTCCCATGGTCGTCATCACCATCTCTTCCCGAAAGCTATTTCTCAGTTGGTAATTGTAACCTCTTTGCTTTTTCTCATTGACCTAGGAGAACATTTTTCTCATTGGTTTTGCCTGGAAGAAGGAATTTCAGCTGGAATGCAATTAGGTAGTTGATCTTTTGTAATTTGAAAAATGGAGGTTTAAGATCGTGGAAGATTTTGATTACTAATTGTTCTAGTTAAGCTTTCACCAATGGAGCTTTGAGTGACTTGTTTACATGTGTGTCTGAAACGTGATTTCCTTAAACAGGTTCAGAAGTTTCGGGTCAAGGAGATGGAACTATCTTTCACTCAGGGTCGTTGGAACCATGAACACTGGGGAGGGTTTGACCCGCTTTCAAGCATGAACGCGAAGCCTGTTGGGGTGGAGCTTTGGGCTGAGTTTGATGTTCCTCAGTCTCAGGTTGATACTTCGTGGAAGAACTTAACCCATGCACTGTCAGGGCTTTTCTGTGCTTCAATCAACTTTCTAGAATCGTCGACTTCGTATGCGGCTCCTACATGGGGGTTCGGGGTAAACTCAGACAAGCTGCGGTATGGTTCACTGCCACGTGAAGCTGTTTGCACTGAGAACTTGACCCCGTGGCTAAAGCTGCTGCCGTGTAGAGACAGGGATGGAATTTCTGCGTTAATGAATAGGCCATCTGTTTACAGAGGGTTTTATCATTCTCAGAGATTGCATTTATCCACTGTTGAATCTGGTGAAGAGGGATTGGGTTCTGGGATAATGCTCGAGCAGACTCTTACTGTTGTTCTTCAGCCAGACTCTATTTCTGGTGAAGCAAATATACAGCCAAGTTGGTCACTCAGCTCCCTCTTTGGGAGAAACATAGTTGGAAGATGTGTTCTTGCAAAGTCAAGTAATGTTTATCTTCAATTAGAAGGTCTTCCTTCTCATGAACTAAAGAACGTGGATCCAGAAACGGAAGCGGACAAATTCTGGAAGAACGCTGAATTTGAATTGTCCTTAAAGCCAGACAGGATTCTTCGAGAAATTAACAGCTTCCTTTATATGTTTGATATCGACAAATCTAGTGACAGAGAGCCATTTGATCTTGGCCTTACTTGGAAGCTTCCCTCAAAGTGGTCATGCCAACAAGCTCCATTACATTCGACTCGGTTTTTGATGGGAAGTGGGAACGAAAGAGGTGCAATAGCCATCTTGTTAAAAGCAACAGAATCGCAAGAAAAGTTATCGGGCGAAGATCTCACTAATGGCCGCTGTACAATAAAAGCTAACATTTTCCAGATATTCCCATGGTATGTTAAGGTTTATTATCATACTCTACAAATCTTTGTGGATCAGCAACAGAAGCCAGGCAGTGAGGTCTTAAAGAAGATTAATGTCTCACCATCTACTGATAAGGTGTCATCTGGCATGATGGAGATGATGCTGGAACTACCATGTGAAGTGAAATCTGCTGCCATATCCATAGAATATGATAAGGTGATCTTTAGTTCTTAATACTTTCTATGTGTATCTTTCTTCACCTACCATAATATGATCAAATTGAGAAATTGTTGGTGTAACTAATTTGTTTCTGGAAATTGCTCAACAGGGTTTTCTACATATAGATGAATATCCACCTGATGCTAATCAAGGATTTGACATTCCTTCGGCTTTGATAAGCTTCCCTAATCATCATGCAAGTTTAGATTTCAAAGAAGAACTCAGCAAATCGCCTTTATTATCAAAGTTCAAGGTAGAGAATCGAGATGACACGCAAAAGGGTTAAAAGTTTCTGCCTTAGTCCCCTGATTCAAATACAATAATTTAAGTCTTCCTCTGGTTTGTTGCAGGAAAAGTCATTAGTACGCTCTTACACAGAAGTATTGCTCGTACCTTTGACAACCCCTGATTTTAGCATGCCTTACAACGTAATCACCATCACTTGCACCGTTTTTGCATTGTATTTCGGATCGTTGCTCAATGTTCTCCGTAGACGAATAGGTGAAGAGGAAAGGTATCTCAAAAGCCAAGGTTAGTAGTCACCACATACTCTTGACGCCAGGATTCAAGATCATTCAGGCTCAATTTGGTTGACAAAATTTACTCTGATTCTAATGTCACGATTATGATTGTTCTGTTTTTTTCAGCAGGAAAGAGAACTGGTAAACTTAAGCAGTTGTTATCAAGACTCAAAGCCAAGATTAGGGGAAGACCAATTGAAGAAGCACCATCATCATCAACTGAGTCACAAACCGAAGTTCAATCTTCGGTCTTTTCTAGTAAACTTCTCTTCAAAATCATATTAGTTGCAGGAGCTGCTGCGGCATGGCAGTATTTTTCCACGGACAAGTAGGCTCAAAAAATTGTAAGAGACACGAGTTGTACAATATGTATCAACAAGGTAATTTTGGACCATGTAAGATTTGTTCTTAGAGTTGGAATTTTGCATTCTCGTTTTAGTCAAATAGACACAAAAAAACTATTACAGCCTCTATTTCTACATCATCCTTCCCTCATCTTATCTTCTTACAAGATGCAGAAGCAATCATATCATCTTCTCTTGTCCTCTTTAGACCATCGCTAATGAAACTGCATTTCAATGGCGTTTTGCTGACACCACCTTGTCTTCCTGCAACATTTTTAAACCCCACTTAGTTCATCAAAGAAGATACCATACTGGAATTTTAGTACATCAAAGAAGAAACCACACTGAAACTTTACCAAAGCTATCATCAATGTTGAGTTTTAGTTTCTTGAGCAAGTGCGTAGTAGTATCTTCAGACAATAGCGTTCTCTTGTTGCATCCACAGGGTGTAGCAACAAAGTTCCCCATACCTGAACACTTATCTTTCAACTTCTTGTTTCTGATATGACCAAGATCGTTGCAGTTTAACTCATCCTGAGGATCATAGTGTGTTCCTGCGAAATCAAACAGGAATTATAATTGATTAAGAAGAGAGTAAATTTGACCGTTCTTGAATTTTTCCTATGCTGGCTCGGGAAACTAAACAAGAAAAGAAGCAAACTTACTTTTATTGCCGACTTTAGAGGGATTGCCATCGACGAAGAGAGCGTCTGCTTCGTCTCTCCCAGTAGACAAGCCTTTAGCAGAGAAGAAAGCTAGCAAAGACCGCCAAGTCACGCAAGAAGCCATTAGATCAATATCTCTGCTTATGAAGTGACCATTGAGCTTCACCGTCCATGGTTCGAGCCCGAAAGCTCCGGCTATGGACCCGAAGTCAAGTCTCTGATCGTTCCAAGCAGCCCACTCAATCATCTTCGATACAGAGGGACAGTAAAGTCTGATCTTTCTCCGACCATCGTCTCTCACCATCTCTGCTTAGAAGCTCCAACGAATTCTAGAGTTTTGTCTGGATTTTCTCGTAATCTCTAACGGTAGCTTGGTAGATTTTCTGTGACCTTCCCGACTAGAACCTTCTGCCTCCACCAGCGATTCTTTTCGGCGCTTTGGGAGTTTTATATTCTCTTAGATGGGCCTTGAAATTAAACAGGCTTTTAATTGGGCCTAAAATACTTACGGATTAATCCAATCTTATCGGTTTAGCAAATTCGGTCAGAAGGGTCTACGTTGTGAAATCTACAAAGAAATAATATTACACAAGTTTTTAAAATGCCTAAAAAATTACAAATAGTCTCTCATCATTTTCTACTACTACACTCATAATTCATACAACTAAATAAAAATAACTGTATATGGGAAACATAAACAACAAATAAATAAGAGTAACAGTCACAAGAGGGAAAAGCTATTGCAATCTCAAACACCAGAATTGGGATTGTTTCCTGCGAGGATAAGAGAGATCTCGAGACCACGACTAAAGGCTTGGTTGAACATCATCCGTGTCTGGAAGGTCGAGACAAAAGGGAACCACGAGCAGAGCGCAACGGGAAGAAATATTAGCATTCCCATTCCTGCGTCATACAGCCTTGCAAGTGAACGGATCGATTTCCACATCCCAATTCGCTTAATGACTGGCTTCCAAGCACACGCAATCTACAATTAAAAGACAGATTCGTTTGTGAAAATCGACTCTGCAGAGATTAAGAACAGTGAAAGGTATCATCAATGTGGGAAAGAAGAAAGATTACCGAAAGAATTCCCCATCCTGTCGGTATAAAAGCCAATACGCAAGCAAATATGTCCGTCACTGATAAATCTGTCAGCACAACCGCTACGATTATGCCAGCTAGAGCCACCAATAAGGCAAGGCCTTGTACAAACCTCAGCACGAGCTGGAAGTTGACAGAAATCTTCTGGCTGAATGTAAAGACCTATTTCAACAAGGGAGAGATATATGTGATCATGTAATGCAATTTCGCAGAGAATAAGGTTACTGGAAAATGAAGTGTACTGATGGGAAAACAAACCTTGAAAAGAACTATAATCGCAGCAAATGCAGCCCATGAATAACCATACACCTGCAGATGTGTAAGTGCTAGCATTAAGCAGATGCGTTCACAGCAAATATCATAAAGAAAACCTTATAACAAAATCATAGATGCTCCTCTTCAACTTGTTATGGTATGCAAGAATGGAAGATTCAGATTATCGATATTCATATAAAGCCCTATGTATACGGTATACCCCACACGTTCAAAACTGTCCAGCCTCAATATAACAAACCATAAGCTTTCGACCCTCACAAGTAGAGAGTATTAAAATGAAATCATGAAACATGGATCATTAATCGACTATGGCCCTGTCGTAGTAGTTGATGCTCCACAGATACCGTTCCAAGATGAGGAAAATGCAAAACAAGCTTAATTGTAGCACAAAAACTAAAAAACTAAGATACATTAAGATGCAGATACAAGTATGAAGGAATTACCGCAAATGATGTATTTGATCCCTGTAGCTGCAATTTGTAGACAATACCATACTGGAACATGAAGAACCGCAGACTTAAAATAGTTTCCATGATCCTCCCGCTCAAGGTTCGAATGTGAGACTGTTGACATACAAATATAATTGCCAAATAAGGTAGCTAAAAATTTTAAAGTGTATTCGAAACTGGCCTTCATAACTCAAAGCTAAACTGTTAAGTGTATTTTGATGTACATGGGAAACATATTTGCTTGAAAATTTTGAATTGTAGTTGATTAGAAAGGCTATAACAAAGCAAAAATCATAGCGCCATATGTAATCAAACAGTAGAGTTTGGATAAATGGAGTTATCCAAGGAATATAAACAAACAAAAAAATGCTAGGAATAGGAGTCCTTACCAGTTCTTCTTCCCACCAGGCTTCCCAGCTTTCAGCTCCTTTCACGCCAATTCCACCTCTGTAAAAGAGCCAATTTGTCCATTCTTTGAAGTCCTCCACGACTCTGAAAGGAGAAGACAAATCGTGCTCAATGAGAGAACATATTACTCAACAGGATATAAATAAGATAGCACTACTTACTTTTGCCACTCAAATCCGGCAGGGTTGAACAGGTAAGGAGCAAAAAGCCAAGAAGCAGCCAAAAACCAGCTGCTAACGGTCAGAAGAATGTAGGAAACTGCACCAGCCTCATCATTGCCATATGCAAGGTAGACAACCAACAAGAGAATAACCTCCATCCTAGAGAAACCAAAAAAAGTAGCATATCAGTGAGTTTACCATCCTTTACTAAGACTAAACAGGTACACATAAGAAATATATGTACATAAGAAACAAAAAGTATAACAGGAGATCACCCTTTGACAAAATGACTTCTGGAATAAAGACGGTAGTTTTCAGAAAATTTGATATGCTCGACGACAAACCCTCTTCCAGTGGCTTGGTACTGTTGACAAACACTGTTTATCACATTCCAGACAAAATAGAGAGATTCAAGAACCGAGAATGAGAATATACCCTTGCACCACCATGGAGAATTGTCCGTCCAAAATAATGGGTCCTTGTGCCAAGGGAAAATGTGAAGAAGACAGTGCATAGCTGAAACTGCATTGTTATGAAACTGACAATGGCCTACATAATGAAAAATGGTTAAAGAAGAATAAGTTCTTTAACAAACAAAGCACAAAAAGTAAAAAAAATCCTTTTGAGCAAATGACTATATGCACATATCCAGTAAAGATCTGCTTTTAGATAATCAAACAAACGGATATGATAAGTCAGAACACTAGAGTCCTTCTCCGGAATAAAGTGCATAGCTGAAACTGACAATGTCTACACCGCGAAAGATGGTTTACAGAGAGATAAATTTCTAACTAACGACAATACATCAGAGAGAAAACATGTTAATGTGTGACCATTAGGCAACTTACTATCAATAAAAGCTAACTCAGAACACGTGTCAGTCTTAAAGGAAAATTTAAACACACGCTTTCTTATCGAACATAACAGAAAATGTGGCATAACATTGTGATATGACTAAAATGGTGGAAAACCAGTACCTGGAGAAAACCCTGTTCCAAAATAAAGCCCAAAACCATTGGCACAGCAGTGAAGACTCCAATCTGAAACAGAAACTGAGCATTCAGGGCGGCGGTTAGTGCAGTATCGTCCAGAAGAATAGCTCTTTCTCGAATAGTAGCTCCAACTCCAGAAAGTGCCTATAAAAAATCAAATAAGTAGGGATATAGAGACTAAATCAGTCATGAAGTTAGCACATGCGTCATAACCGACATTAGGTAAGTATGCTTACCAGATATGCCCTCCCATATAAGAATATATACACAGTAAGCACCGTCAACTGCAAGAAGCCATGTAAATGTCATCAGCATTAGTTCCTGGAAAGCATACTACGAGAAACTTGGAGCTTATAAGGAACATCTCCAGATACAAGGAATAACAATAAAGTGATCCACAGAAACTAATTCCAACACTTGTCATAAACTTCTTTTATAGAGATGCTGCTAAGTATTGTTATGGAGGTAAGACTGCACTTTTTAATAAGGTAAACATTCTGGATGCAGGTGTCAACTTGAAAACTATGGTGAGAGATGAATAAAATCAGAATGACTCGATTAAGGGTCCACATACCATTGTACAGAAATAGAAGCCAACAGTTGTGAAGTAGAATGACATCATTCGGAAGAAATCAAGAAGCTGGCCAAGCCTGTATACATCCCGACTAAGAACCTGCTCACCATTCCCACCAGCAACCTTCCCTTCAAACAGAGCTATTTGATTGAGCCCAACATCTCGCCCTTTGCCCACCTGTTAAATAGAATTAATGCATATATATAGGTTATCCTTTATATTGTAAAGAGCTAAAAAGTACGGACCTGAATATACTCATGATGAGTAATATTCCCTTGACGTAGAGTTGAGTTGAAACCTGAGAATCATAGCATCATAGAATCAACATTAAACGACTGTGGAAGAAATTTAGATAAAAACGGCTCAACCTTCAATTCATGAGTTTCTATTGTACTGCAACACTGAACAGTTATGAAGGTAACTGTCAATTAACGAATAGACTTTACCAGCAAAAATATCTTCACTAATATTGATGACCCGAGAGGCCTTGCTGATACCACCTCGTGTAATATGAAAAACTCGGTCAAACACATCTGGATGGCCATAATGCATGCGGATCCTAGAATTCAGAAGTGATAAAATAAGTATTCCATCTGAGTTCAAGTTGTTCAAGGCAGATAAAACTTATTGGTAGTAGCTTACTTTAAGGGTTTCGCCAATACTCGTTGACCAAGAGTTACAAAGCTGGTTTCTTGATTAGACATGAAAGAGGCCAAGGAGGAGACACTGCATATTGTCACAAACAATTGTGTAAGATGACATGTATAAAATAAGAAAATAGATATATGAATGTCTGGTTCACACCTTCCCGTAAATACATGTTCCCTAACTCCAAGAATGGTAGGTGGTCGAATTCCATGGTCCTGATCGAATTCCTCCAAAAGGTTTCTCATCTTTAAGGCTTCTTCAAAATAGTTATCC